CCGAGATCCGCGTGTCTCAATGCCGTACGCAAATGCACTGCTATCTGTCAGAGAAATTCGCTTCTTACTAAAAATAATTTAACATGCAGCTGAACAGAAGAGCAGGTGCCAAGAGGTGGACGTCAGTGTTCAGGGTACACACAAAGGTCAGTGCTGACTCGCCACACCAAGGGGCACCTGCTCTTCGGGGGGCACTTAGTTCTCAAAACATCTGTAGGCTTCAGCAAGAAACTACTTTACTTTGCTACAGACTGACTTCTTGTCTGGTGTGGGAGATCTACACAGCAAAATCACAGACTTGTTCCTTTTCCCCACAGAAACAGAAATAACCATCTTTGTCCCTGAAGAGAATTTTGAGGCAGAGCAGTAGACTCAGTGGGAAGCCTTGTTACTAGAAAGGCTGCAGTTATTATACTGATGAGAATTCATTTTTTCTAAAGCACTACTGCTATCCATTTGTCACTTTTATCTAACATAAAAATGTCAAATTCAGTTTTCCGCTTGAATTTTTTTAATCTGGGAATAAGACAAAAGTGCTGCATCTAAAATGGTGGTATCTTATAATCACATTTCCTGCTCAAACATAGCCTTGATGCAGATGGTGTTTGGCCCATATGTGCTATCATCTTCCATCCACCTGTACATGAGTCAAAACTGTGCATCCTTTAAACTACCAAGAGAACTCTGAAGGGTTTTTAGCACTTCTCAAGTATGAGACAGTATGAGAACAATCTTGCATGGCCACTTTTTTCCCAGTTCTACAGCAGCATTTTGTACATGCCTATTTCCAGTTCTTTTGTTTGGACTCCTGCAGAGGAAAACGGGACACAAAATCAGAGCAGCCAGCAGGCACCCAATGATGACAGTCTACCCCGGCTAAGGAAGAAAGTATCTGAGCACTAAGCACTGTGCAAAGAGCAACAGATGGACAGAGAAAAATAACAGAAGACCCAATGGAAGGAAAGGTAATGCCCTATCTCAGAGTTGGACAGAACCTCGAGGACTGACTTAGCCTGGGTATAATTTTTCCTAACTGAACGAAACCAATGAAACAATTGCTTCCCTCCCTTCTTGGAATGAAGGTGATGCTGCTCGATTGGTTAGACTGTTACAGGCTAGTATAGAAACAACTTTGTCACAAGCTACATATAAATAAAAATCATCAGTTGAAAAGTTTTGTATAAAAGAACAGAATTTCCAGAAATGTGAGGGAAAACAGCAAGTACTGTCAGACACCACATATGTAATTACTGGGCTCTGAGTAGACACTCCTACGTGGTAAACAGTATTTCCTTTGTAGAAAGGCCAACCCGATGAGCAAACTAAGAGCTTTATAAGTAAGAAGCTGCTCTGTGCAAAGCAGAATGAACGAAGGTGAGCCTCTGTTCACAAATGATATACTACCGTTGTTACTCAGAAGTGGTTTTTTTCCCTTTCCAGCTCTTTTGTCTTTGCTCGAGTTCCGCTTCAGTGAAGGCGGCCGGGCCCCAGTTTGTGATTAAGTGAGGGTTCTTGGAGCCTGGAACACAGAGGGCAATACTGAAACAGGCGTTTCTGACAGCGACGTCGCTCACCCGGCGGCAGCAGGACAGGCCGAGTGTCGCCACAATGATTTGATAAGTGCTGTCCCTTCTGTGACTGGAAACCCTCTGGAAGGCGGCCTGAGGACCTGCCTAACCCAGGAGGGAGGAACGCCTGGGGCACCATCAGTGAAGGTGCTTAGTGTGAGAAGCTGTCAGCTGCTGCAGTCTCTTGCACCCTTATCTCCCAACTTCCCCCTCCCCAAACACTTGTATCTTAGCAAACCCCTCTTCCTGCCTTTAGAGACGCCCTTGAAGGAAAGCAATCTCTCCAGCACTGCAGGACAAAGCCACTTTGCTCTGGGCTGGCATGCTATTAATTAAACTAAGAAATTAAACTTTTCCCAAAAATCAAGTATTTTAACTATCTTTACTTTATGGTTTTGGCAATCAGCATTTATGCTAAACACCCAAACCATGCCATGTTCAGGTTGATCCTTGCTTTGTTTTAAATAAATAAACAAACAAATAATAATTCTAAAAAATGAATTGTAGTAGGGCCAGTAGAGGTAAAGACTTGAAAGTTATCACCAGCAGTTCTCACCAATGTGACATTTATAGGCTGCCATGAAACAGATAAACTACAGGAAAAGGTGGACTTCGATAAATCATAGACTCGTAGCATGTGTTGGGTTGGAAGGGACCTCTAAAGGTGCGACCGCCCTACAATAAGCAAGGACATCTCTAACTAGGGCAGGTTGCTCAGAGCCAAATCAAGCCTGACCTTGAATGTCTCCAGGGATGGGGCTTCCACTACCGCTCTGGGCAACCTGTTCCAGTAATCCAGCACCCGCATGTTAAAGATTTTTTTTCCTAATGTCCAACCTAAATCTACCCTTTTCCAGCTTAAAACCATTACCCCTCATCCAGTTGCTACAAACCCTTGTGAACAGTTCTTCCCCTGCTGCCTTATAGGCCCCTTTCGGGTGCTGGAAGGTCACTATAAGGTCCCCCCCGCAGCCTTCTCTTCTCCAGGCTGGACAACCCCAACTCTCTCAGCCTGTCCTCGTAGGAGAGGGGCTCCAGCCCCCTGACCATCTTCGTAGTCTCCTCTGGACTCGCTCCAACAGGTCCATGTCATTCTTGTGTGGGGGGCTCCAGAGCTGGACGCAGTCCTCCAGGTGGGGTCTCACCAGGGCAGAATCACCTCCCTCCACCTGCTGGCCACACTGCTTTTGATGCAGCCCAGGATGCGATTGGCCTTCTGGGCCGCAACTGCGCATTGCTGGCTCATGTCCAGCTTTTCATCCACCAGTGCCCTCTAGTCCTTCTTGGCAGGGCTGCTCTCTAGCATGCTCCGTGATCTACGTGTATCAGACAGAATGAATACATTTTTTTTGTAACTTTTACGTTGATAACTTACCTGGCTCTATTAGTCGAATTAATCCCTCATGATGAGCTACTTTATCTTTCCAGCTCTTGGTGTTATTAGCTGCCATTTCCAACTTCTTCTTAACCTCCTGAAATAAGATACAGCCCACTTGAAAACAAGAACAACTTTACTCTGTTTATATAAAAAGAAAAAACATCCTTTTAAATCTAAAAGAACCACACTCATTCAGCCAGCACTCCATTTAGTGTAGACAGGAGAACTTAATTCTAACCATCCTAAGTAATGTAGTCATCGCTAGGTGCATAAAAATAAGCTGTCGAACTAGAATCCAAAAATAACCAGGTTTTACAAGATCCTGTAGCTGCCTAAGTAGGGCTAGTCTTCATGAAGACTGAAAGCATGAACTGTAGTTACAAAACAGAAAGATGCATTTTCTGTTCCAGACTAAGAGCAGTGAGTGGTTATCTCTCACTATCAGAAAACATAAAATGTAAGCTAGGAAAAGGACGGCTGCTGTTACACCCATGCAAGAAAGAGGTATTCTTCAGTCTAATCCAGTCTTTTGATCAATTGAAAACAGAAGGCTAGAATATTTATTTACTTCTAAAATAATGAGTCAGCTATTGCAGTGATCTGCTCCATCATTTGTTTTGTGATTTTTTTTTGTTTGGTTGGGTTGTTTGTTTGTTTGTTTGTTTGTTTTTAAATGTCTACTGTATTCAGCAATTCCTTTGGAGTAACAAATGATGTTTCATATACAGAAAGCCTGAGATGTCACCTGAAAAAGGAGTGAAGTATTAGCCAAAAGCAATCTAATGACTGTTCGATTTAACACTGCCATGGTAAGTTGTAAAGCGGCCAGCACTAACCCCCTGGGCCCTTGCTTGCAGGCACTGCAGCACCTGGACTGCATGCCAGTCAGCCAGCTTCCCTAGCTGTCCTTCACAGAGCTGACCTCCAGGAGCACAGAGACACGTTCCCTAGTTAAACAGAAATCCAGTCATGTTTTTCTTCCTGACCTAAATACACTCAGGACCAACACGCCCAGCCCTAGGAAGTATGCAGCACTTCAGGCTCCGTACTCGCTGGATTCTGACTATTTCTTCCACGAATACAGCTACTGGCCTTCCCAGACACACTCAGCAGAGCAGAGAACAGGCCTGGCATTTGGCACGCAAGGCACTGCTACACATTGCGAATCTGGGCTAATTCCTAGCTGTCCTTGACATCAGTTCAGCGCTTAAACACCTTTTGGGGAAGCAAGGGCCTACATTAGCACATTGTTTTTTCATCTGTAGAAGACAATACTGCCCCATGACATCATCAAAACATTGCAAGAGTTAACTAATTCAAAAGCGTAAGGCATTTAGTTATGACGGTAATGTCACTGCATAAGAAGTCAGTCTACAGTAGAAGACAAATGTCTACGTAGTATTTCAGGATATACCTGAGCTGGCTTGCCAGTGAATTGGGACAAAAGAATAAAGGAGGTGGTGTGTCTGAAATGTCCTCTGCTCCAAATATATCTGCTGGTCTAGGCCAAAAAAAACCCAACAGATAACTAACCTCCCTGTTACTGTATTTCTTGTGCCATACTAGTCCTTAAAGCAGCATGATATTGGCGAACCTCAGATTCAGTTAAACTACTGAACACCTGGCTAAGTGCGGTAGGCTGATGAACAGAACAGCTCACCTCATACTGCTCAAGGGCCTCCTTCCTTTCCAGTTCAAGTTGTTCCAGTTGCTGCATAGCAACTTGAAGAGCCTGTTCCTTTATCATTCGCTGGTTTTCTAGCTCTTGCTTCTCCGCTTCTGTCATCTGAATGGTCTGTTGCTGCTGCAAGTGCCATTTTTCCAGTTCAGCTCTCTTTGCTGACTCCTCTTCCAGTAATCTGCAATGGGGATTTGGATGTTAACAGCACTTTAAAGTAAGGGGTATCCACTATGGAGCACGCATGTGGGAAAGCCCAGCTAATTATTTTCTCCCTCCCTCCCCCCCTTTTTTTTTTTTAAATACTAGGGAAGCAGGGAAAAAGTTACTGCTTGTTGGTTTGTCTTAAGTGTAAAGCTGAAAATCATGCCAGTAACGCGAGCAAGCTGACTGCTACAAAGGGCTATTCAGAAAATTTAGTCACTAATGCAAACACACGACACTGAAAACCGCAGAAGAAACAAGCAAGCATATGTTAACTTAACTGTCTTAGGAGGACTGAATATATGAAGAAACAAACCACACAAAACAAAGCCCATATGAGTAAGAGGAGACTTAATCCTTTATCAATAACAATTTAAACCTGTGATAAAATACAGCAGAAAGTCATATTTACAATTGCTGCTTTATAAAATACACAAGTGAAAATCCTGTACAGAGTGATCTCAGTTTTTCAAGTGTTGATGTGCGCAGCACCTGCTGAAAAATAAGCGTGGCTGCTTTTCTGAAATTGCTGAGCACTCCCACTGCTAAGGGCTAATCAAACATATTAAAAAATCATAAATACCAGGTTTAGCCTTCAGAGCTAAAAAGAAAAAAAAAAAAATCTAACCTGTATTTGCACTTCAAGCTAGTTCTCCCTTTCCAGCAATGCGTCCAAGATGCAAACGCTCCTGAACACTATGGCACAGTTATTTACTATTGTGGGGGGAGTGGGGAATTGAAATCACTCTCTACAAGGTCAAAGCCATACCTGGCTTGAAGTTTCCGTACAGTCTCTTCATCTTGGCGTGCCTGTTTCTCATCCTCCAAAGCTTCCTGTAGCTGCTTATACATTTCTTCCAGTTCACGTACTCTCTGTAAATACTGTTCCAGTTCAGACGATTTCTGAGCAACCTGCTCTTCCATTTTTTGTCTTACCTAGCAGCATAAATTGAGGACACACATGAGCTACGATTAAACTCAGGTTTCCAACTTTCAAAGGAATTGTCACATTTCCCTCAGATAATTTTTTTTCAGAGACAAACCTTTTCCCAGTGCCTGAAGAGCAAAACTGCTAAAATTGAGTCTAGATTTGTACATGTGTAACTAAGAACATTTAAAAAAATAAATAGTAATACAGGTTGCTTACATTGCCCTACTTCATGCAGCACAGGATTTTTACTGGGGCTTAAACTTAACTTCAGTTACAAGATCAAACTGTGTTTTCTCTTCCTTCATTTTAGTGTGTCTCAGAACTTGTAGAGTGCCCAGACACGAAGGTCAGGCTGGTTTAATGGTTTCCACTCCTTTCCTTAGGCAAGTCCTCCCTTGGCAGCAGTATATTTCACACACTGATATCTGGATGACGGCACCACGACAGTGTGGGATGGATAAAGGAGTGGAAATCAGCTGACTTTGCTTAAACAAGAGCAGCCGTAACAAAAACCAACAGTAAGGGATAGAGGAAGGTGAGGGAATGCTGCATATCCAGTCACCCAGTCTGTGACCCTCATTACCCCCCTTTCGCTGACCAGAGCGGGAAACCAGGGGTGCTGCAGCACCAGAGCCGTCCTCCCACCCAGCCCGTCAGGGTGCTGGGGACAAGAGCAGCCAGCTGCCTTTGCACCCAGTCAGGATAAAGCACCAAAACGGCAGCATTTAGCAATATGTAACGTGCACTTCGCAGAAGGTGAGCACAGCTCCTGAAGTCAGCAGGAGAGGCTTGCTGTCAAGTGTGGTAGGGTGGCACGTCCTGCTCCGCAGGCCTGCAGTCTGCTTTCCCTCAGCTAACCGAAATCCCGCTGGCCCAGAAGTGATCGTATTCAGGAATTCACGTTCGGCCCATAAAGCAGCACTGTGTGCGTTTATGTTCCCAGATGTTTGCTCACATCGACTTGACTATTTCTACTTCTTTTCTCCAGTTAACAGAAAAGCCTGTTATGCCTGACAAAGCCCTTCAAGACTGAAAATTAGTTCTTTTGGAACTTCTCAGTGTAGATCATAGTGTTGTGTTGTAAAGCTACAGTATTTCTTTAATTTTTTAGGTTTGTGTGTGTGTATAAATGTAAAAGAACACACAGTATAAAAAAGCAGTATTTTTAGGAATATATTCAAGTCAGAAAATTCCCTATTATGCCTGTGTTCGCTTTGCATATTCACACAGTATGTACTGTCCTCAGGTTCTCCAGCTCTGAAAACTGCAAGGATAACTTCAGTCTGCATTTACCCTTCAGCCAGTCAATTTTTTCCCCATTCTCCTACAATATTTAAGCTTTGAATGCTATACAAACCGTAGACAAGCTGTTCCAGTGTTTGAATTCTCTAGTAAAAATACTTTATTCCTACATCTCTAATAGATGCAACACAGGTTGTGTTCTCCCACCTCCTGCAAAATCTGCGGAATCCTTTCAGTGACTGCCTGTGAGGGAAATCACTGCTGAAAGCATTGCTCACTATGTGTAATCAGAGCAAAACCCCCCATGCACTACTCACCATTTTTTCTCTCTCCAGCTCCAAACTGAAGCGATCTTGTAATTCGACTTGAGTCTGAAGTCTTTTCTTCTCTTCCTCAGCAGCACGAGCAGCTGCTGCTTCCAGTTGCTGGAAGAGGAGGGGGGAGAAAAGAAAGAAAAAATAATTTGTCAAATCTAAAACATTTGAAGGGAATGGAGTTTTATTTAACAATTTTTAACAGAAATGGCAATAACCTTCAAAAGCTCTTTTTAAATGTCTGAGGCTATTCTCAGTCTCTAAATATATTTTTTAAACTTTTTATTTGCAAGACAAATTTAAATTTACCAATGAAAAGTCTATTATTAGACTTCCTCCAAGTTTCCTTTGAGTCCTGCTTCGCACAACTGACACAGAAGGAAATACAGTGATTTTGTCTGTCTCATATGGGATAGAAAACGATTATGGAAAACGGCATCACAGGCAGGACTGCATGGGAGTTCCAACAGCGAAAGCATGCCAGCATGCACAGAGTTCATACAGACACAGACGTGCGGAGGACTAAACGGCCATGGGAAAGCAGAAGTGCTGCAAACTTTGACGATAATCAGTGATCGTGCTACCGTGAATCACACCCCTTTAAAATCCCCTAAATTACCATGTAAGGTAAATAAAATTCCAGTTAATAATCATCACTTGAAATCAGGGGAAAATTAGATAGTCAGAGCTGAAGCCTAGGAAACAGCTGCTAGTACCTTCACACCTCTTTGCAACTTAACTTTTTCTGCATCTTGATTTCACATACAAATACAGTCAACACAGTTTTTCCTTTCAGGATTTTGATAGCATGTATTTTTAGAATGCACAGAAGTTTAGAAATGTACAAGTACCAGCCAAAACTTTACCAATACTGAAACCAAAATCATTCACAGAATTTTCCTAAGAAACTTCTCTGATGCTTCAGAGGAAACAGAAAGCAAGCACCCTTCTTTTCTAATACACTAGGCTGGTGCAATTGTTTCTGCAAACCTTCGGTAAGAGCGGGATATCCGTCATCTTCAGTATTTTTGGAAGGTAGCACATTTAAACCATCTTCCCTCACACAACCTAGACGAACTAATGAGATGCCTAAAGGATTGCAACTGCCAAGCTAAAAATTTTCCTTCAAGTGCCTGTGATATCACGCTAGTCTGAAATAGATGGGAAGAAGGGAGGGAGAAGGCTCCTAATTTGTTTTTAAGCTGTAGAAGATAGTACAGAATTGCTTTCCTTTGAAAGGCTTAAACGATGCCAGCCTTCAGAAGTAGTATTCTTCCTCTGCCAGAACATTTAAAAGCATGTAATTGTAGTCAAATCCAAGATGCCTATTTAAGTGAAATTTTCTTTTGATTTCCTTCTCCACTTTGAAATTCCACAAACATTGCCAATACTGAGCCGAGCGGGCGAACACGCAGAGTCACAGGCAAGGGTGGGTGCTAGGCTTTTGCCAGAGAGCTCAACAAGAACATACACTGTTTGTCCTCTCTTTATCAGCAACTTCCTGCTTAATCCGGGTCAGAGGACACCAGTTCCTGGCAGGTAAGGTTACTGGCAATAACTATGCAGTTCAGGGAACAGTCCCAAATGCTGGGGGCAGGGAGGGCGGGGGAATCAACAGGAACACACCATTCCAGCAGCAGTTAGTTAGCACACAATCTCCGAATCCCATGCAAGACCCCAAATTGAAACAGAAAGGGTGCACAAGTCTTGTGCATGCTCTCCTGGTAAGAAAAACTCACCTTTCAGTATGTTCAGTACGTGCATCTCAAAATTCCATTAGAAAAATATGAAAAAAATCTAGTTTAGACAAAGGCTCTTATTCTTCTGACATTTTCTACTGCAGGAGCTATCAAAATACAGACCAGTCTCAGAGGGCACTTTGGCAGATGCTGTGTGAGTGGTGGCTCACTGCCATCAGGAGCAAATCTAACTAAGCTTTCCAGTACAATTTCTTTTCCTGAACCATTTACAAAGCCTTTTCCTTGAAGAACATTTTTCTAACTAATCACTTAAAAGTTCCTCCAACACAGTACCTCCCCACTAACTCCATTTAGTCCAAGTGCAGTAGTTCATGTCAGAAACTAAACTACTCTCCTTGAGAAGTCCTTTTAATCCAGTCCCCTTCAAAACATGCTTCTTGCCACAACTCTTTAGTTTACACTTTGTGATTTCTACAAAACTCCCTGGAGCCTGTCACCATCCTACTGCTCCTTTGGGGTTGCTCATGTTATTGAGAAAAGGTTAGGGGGAAGATAAAGTAAACTCAGCACTGAAATCCAGCCCTATGCTTTCTGTTCACAGGGTATTACTTACCAGTAACTTGCAGCTAACACAGGGTATCCTTTAAAGCATATTTTGCATTCTGAATCTTAAACACATGGTAGAACATGTGTAAGTGCTAAAATTACATTATAAAATGGTTTTCCACTGTCAGGCTCCATTTAAGGCAAACAATGATACTTACATCAGTACCGTCAGTGTAAAGTTCTTAAAAAAAGATAAATTTCTCCTCACCACAAATTGTGACTTAATGACAAGACTTTAAAAAGACACATTTTAGATGATTTTATTTGCTTTCTAGACTCGGCACCTTTAACAGGCTCTCACAGTATTTATGACTCCCCCCCACCCCAAAGATCATTAAAATTTATTCTAACTGAGGGCTAACATTAGCTAGTGGTTTTCATTTATGAACAACTCAAGCAATGATGCAGCCAGGAGGGATATCTGGATACTAATCAAGTCTCTGTGGAGAACTATTGCAGAGGTACCATTGTTGCAAAGTACAAAGATCCATCAGCGTGTTCAATCTACTGTTAAGAGTGTGTGGCCACAGCAAAGGCACCTTGGTGCCTCCTGCCAGTCTAGATTTAGACTAAAAAGCTGTCACAAGGAAAATAATGTATTCAGCAAGTTGTCTGCTAATACCAAGAAATTTCTAGTCCAATTTTTAGGCTTTTAGAAGTCAATGCAGCATTTACAAGGAACATGTGTTTAAACAGTTTATAAATGGTTGCTATGTGCCTCAGCTCTATAAATCTCTCCCAAACTACTCTAATAAAATTATGCCTATACATAGTCACAAAATCACTTTGCATCTTTGGAATCTTTGTAAAATAAATTTGTATCTCTGGAAACCACATCTGTGTGAAGAGCAGAGTTCCCCCACACATACAACTCACATAACAGAACTCTGGAAAACTCAAGGGAAAGCCCCAAGTTCGACACAGGTATGTGTCAGAAAAGAAAAACAAAAACCTCACAAGTAACTCAAAATACTAGGCTCTCCCTCCCCAGACACCATCCTCACAGCTGGGTTTTCTTTACCACTAGCTCCACAATACCCTCCTAAGTGTGGGAGCAGGGTGGGCCAGGAGTCCCCGCCCGCCTGCTGCCCAGCCCGTGGAAGTGCTGCCTCAGCGCTGAAGGCGCTGCTGCAGGCTCAGCCAGCAGAGCTGCGTGCTTAGCGGGCTGAGGCGGACACAAGCTCACCTCCTCTGGAGGAGTCCACCCAGTGTGTCCGAACACCTGAACAGCAAACACATGCCTAATTATGCTTCAAGAAGCCCAGCTCAACCACAGAGACTGAGCTTAAAGCCTGAAGGTCAGCAGCTCCCACTCTCACCTTCCGTACGGTCTCCAGTTCCTTCTGCTTGTTCTCGTTGGCCGTTTGCAGCTCTTTCATCTGCCGCTCCAGCTCTTCTTGCTCAGCTAACAACTTCTGGCGCAATTCTTTTCGTTTTTGGCGTGCTTCTTTGTGGGGTGGAGGGCTCCCCGCTCTCAGCAGGCTTACAGTGGTCTGTATGGCTGGAAAGGAGCATGCAAGACAAAGGGAGAGGAAGAGAACACCAGTGAAGGGAAATGCTAAACTTTCTGGACAGCCTTAGTGAATGAATACTTGTGGTGTTGTGTTGCTTGTGGTTTTATTTTAATGTATTTTTAAATCAGAAATAACTGCTGTCAGTTCTCCTACTTCTCATCAGGCTAGCTGTCAACACAAACCAAAAATGAAAGACGCCTGGCTTCCAGTATTGTCTGTGTGCCACAAGGATGAGGGCTGACAATTCCAGTGCATTATGGCAATTCCAATATTGATTTCTAACAGGCAGTGGACAGACAAGTCACTTGTATGCTTAGCTGCAAAACAAACCCAACACTTCAAAGATTTCTTACTACCTAGATTCAGTGACTCTAATCAAGCAAGATGTTATCTAACATATACATCACTCACTTCCCTAGAACCACCCTTAAACCCTTTGTTCTTATTGATACTCCAAGGGAAAACTTTCTCCCAGTAAGACGGTAGCGCTTATTTACTTATATTCAGTGAGGACTTAATTGGAGAGCAAAGCTGAGGAATGGCAGATGATTTTGATATTTTATTCACCTACTACAGCTGTGAAGAGAGATCTACTTTGGAATTAAGTAATCGTCCGTCATACATCAGATTTTGGTGCAATTAAACATACGCTTGAGGTAAAGACAGAAGTACAAATGAAAGCACACAGCTCCAAATATTTAAATGCCGTACATACTTCAATGGCTTTGGCAACAGTGGATTTGCAAGGGCTTCTGCCTGGCTCTGCAAAACATACATGTAACTGTCACTCATCAGCAGGCTCCTGGGAAGGTCTCACAGGAGGAGGACCTTCGCCGTGGGAACAGAAGAGGATGCTGCAATTCCCAGCCTTATCCTCAGCTCACCAAACCATACTACCTCAAGCAAAACTGTAAAAGCAAAGTCAGTATTTTATGATGCTTAAATGAACAAGCTTTCCCCTTCTCCCCAAAAGCAGCAATTTACAATGTATTCCCCTTCCTCATCCCTAGAAGTACAGCCAATACAGAAAAAGCAAACAACAATACCCATTTCATTTTGGTTATGGGTGCCTACATTGAGGCACCTAAATGACTGAACCCAATTCCCCCTACGGGGATCCTTAGTTCTTCTTAAGTCTCAGGCTCCTTAAATGTGCCCAGACAGACACACCAAAAATCACAAGACCAAGAATTTCAAATTTGAGTAAAGCATGGCTGTAAGACTTCAGCTTACCTTAACTTTCACATAACCAAGACTTTTGAAACCTCACCTTGAATCCACTCCTGCTTCTTCTTTTTATCAGAGGCACTGATCTCAAAGCTTTTATCAAGACATTTTATGAGAAAAAGGCATTTCTTTCCATCTTTGTCAGGCAAGGCCTAGAACGAGTAACAACGGATTAGCCTTGCAAACACTAAAATCTAAGTTATATTGTCAAGCCCCGCATACACAGTTATCTGTTACAGTACAAATACCAGTACTAGGAAACTTTATAAGAAGAGTGCTTATGAACTATTTTTATATAAAGTAAAAAAAAACAAAACAAAACAAAACATTCCATTAATAGAGTACATCCCACATACAAAAAAGGATTCTTATCTGTAGAGACATTCATAGTTCCTGAGGTTTTATTTTTTTTTACCTCTACACAACAGTTGCCATCCAGTATGATGTCTCCCTTCTTGTCCTTTAAATCTTCACTTACATAGTAGGAAATAATATTGGGTTTTAGCACAAACCATCGTTCCATCCAATTTTTCCTTTTATGGCCTTTTTTCAACATATAGCCCTGTAAAAAGCAACAGATCAGCTGAAATGCCCGGCCTCTGTTGAACCACCTGGTCTTTTGGTTATGTGGCTTAAAGACCCAGTAGAGCACACCGACAAGTTAGCTCAAGGCCCGAAATACTTCACCTACACACTTCTACTCCTAATACCAGTGCACTGCTAATTGTTTAGCCCATGAGAAATGACCCACTGTTCTTCTGTCCAGTTTTTAAGTAACAGGGTTATCTGAAGAACTGAACAATTATTATGTCATTATCAAGTCACTATTACAACTGTTTGGTCCTCTTTGATGACCTTTACTTTTAATTTTCTTCAGCCGAGCAGAGCCATTTGCCATCACTAAGAGCCACCTGCAATACCTTAATGACAGCCGCTATTAAAAATCAGTCCTGTGTGGATGCACCCCGGTGACAGACGTGGGCCTGCATCTACATGCTGTAAATCCAGCCTGTTGCAGGACATGCCCAGGGACAAAGCAGAAGCACCACTGTCCTGGGAGCAGCTCCACCCTGCCACCACACTCATTTAGCTGCACCCCCTGGAAGAAGTGATCCCATAAAGGATACTTCAATGAGTACGTTAAAGAAACTGGTAACAGAACCATACTCCTGGCATCTTTATTGGACTGGATATGGGAACACTGGTGAACACTGGATTTTCCCTTAAAGAAACAGAGTTGTACTTTGATTTGAATAATACCAAGATTTCACTCATAGTATTTTATTATCTTGAAAGATGATCCACTCAACTTTCTATATGAGAAAAACACTTGCAAGCCTTAACAAGACTATTTCAGAAGAAGGAAGAGAAGCCCATACTTTGCCACCAAGCTTTATATAAATGAAAGAATAAAAATTATCATCTTCTGTAATGACAATAAATAGGGCTGGTATCATGATCAAATCATCCCAGTTTGCCTCTGTTGAATATTAACCTATCTAAAATATACTAAGTGCAGTCATACTAGTTACTCTATTACACATTATCCAGTGTGCCTATGGCAATTCAAAAACCATCTCATGGAAAAGAGGGTGCACAGGGAATGATAGAATAATTGGTTATTCTTTCAGGCATTTGATTTTTAGTGGTCTTATCAGTCAGTTTTTAATCTAGAGTTTTGAAGTTTTGCCAGTATTTCAGCTACACCTGCCATTTCTCAAACCATATTCTCCAGTAACTTACATACTTTCGTCTGACTCCTTCAAAAAAAAGCATAACCACAGATGTAACCGAAACACCTACACCAATATAGGTATAAACCAGTGATACAGAAAGCACTGTACTCAGAGGAGTCCAGATTAACAGGACTGAAAAGTTGGAGAGGAGACCAAGGAACATTTTTCTTGTAATGCCTTTTAGCTACAGCAATTCTGGATACAAGCAATCAAATTAATGTGCTGTGGTGTATTTAAGTCAAAGTTGTCTTTCTGTACAGGTCTGAGGGGAAAAAAAAAATTCAGAACAGCTGGAGAAGCTCTTTTGTTTAAAAAATCAAAACAAACAACAAAGAAACAACCCTCCTACACACACAGTTTATCTGTGCTCAGCTTTTCTAGCCAAGGCCTTGCCTATTCCCCATACTATCCCACCCCCTTGCTCCACAACAGGAACGCGCAGAAACAGCTTGCTTTGCCGCCTCTGTACTCAGGTGCAAGGTCTGGGTGGTCGCAAGGGCGTGTGAAGGACTCCTGCAGCTTCACTCTTTCGTGCCTTGCAAAGTTTAAGTCATAACCAGGTGTTTTTCCTGTTCCTGACATACTAAGTTTGCTTTTAAAACCAAGTCAGAATGACATTTCCCCTCAGATTTCTGCAAAATCTGTATTTCTGTGCCTCAGCTGCTCCTCATCTTCCAAGAGCACACTGGCAGCTCCTGGGGATCTTTTCACACCAACTATCACATGAAGGACACATCTTTCAGAAAATTAAATATCGCAAATTTAATCATCACCATTATCCTCCATTAGCCTTGGAGATCCAGGGTAAGCGTACAATAAAAACGGTAGTATGAGACTTGGCTATGACACAGTACGTCATTAATTAATACCTTGAAGTAATCACACACTGCAATAAACAGGACAATTCTGTGAATCAACAAGGTATCACGGTACAAGCTGTGACTGTAAGTCTCATGGGAAACCCCGTTCTCCATTAGGCCAGTGACTGTCCAGGAGGCACTGGGCCAAATCTTGACTCAAACTACTTTTAAGTGTCAAGGAGCCATTCAAAGGCACTCAGACATCCTTCAGAAAGAGGCTGAGCCACCAAGAGAGGAAAGAAGGGAGACAGTTAAAAAAAAAAAAGGGTGTGGGTGGAGAGACACAATGCAGTATCAAAACTATCTGATTTCCTCACAAGTTTCAAGTGGAAGAACTGACCTGACACTGGTTATTTTATTTTCATGGCATTAAACAGCAGAGTGACTTCATTTTGCCCTCAACTGACTCTGTGTATGCGTGTGTGTCCCTATCCCTCACCTCCAACAGGGAACCAGCAGTTAACAAAAATAGACTCTTGCATTGTTCTGTGGATATTCCAAAAGAATTTCCTGTGCCAAGACCTTCTGATGATTTCTTCAGAACAGCTCAGGAAAGCCTGCCAAGAAAGCCTTTGTTTCTCTCCTCACCAAGAAGCCAAGAAATCAAAGATGAAAAAAAATTCTCTGTCAGGTAAAAGTCAATTTTAAATCGCTGTCTAGGTCAGCTCTGCTGCGACTCCTCAGGCCCCTGTGACACTCATACTTCCTATGAAAGAAATACCATTGTTAAAGCCATTCCTAGACTGAAAATCCAGCCACTAGAAATCTGAAGAAACTGAAAACTAACAGAAGTTTGCTAAGAATATAAAGGCCAGCAGGACTTCTGTATTTGAGTATGGGTAAATAAGTTGTCAGTCACGTAGCCTGCTAAGCAGAACAAGAAGGGAGAGGGCTCTGGAGCTCTTCTACACCTTTTTGCCCTGTTGAAGTGGGGCAGCTTAGGAGACCTTTCAGCTGGAGCAATATCTTTGTCCAGACCCCCTTGTCTGAATACAGAGGTTATCATCAGCACAACTTTTATTTGCTACGAAGTAAGTGAAACTAGAAAAAAACATTTTCAAAGACTGAAGAGTTGTCACCAGTTTAAGAACTGACAGTGTTGCAGCTATTCTGTCAGCTAACAAGCAGTTGATACCAGTATAAAAAAGGCTGTATTTCAAGTCAGAACACACTTCTTTTACTTTCTAAAAACAAACTCTCCCAACAAGCAACTCATTCATAATACTGCAAAAATTACAACAATCTGAACAGCAGCACAATTTCTCTATTACAAAAATAAGCTCATGTTAAAGAGCCCCTGTAAGTAATTTACCTAATTTCCCCCTGCTCGTTACCCATCGGGTAAAGAAATTTCAGTACAAGTTGAACATTTTCTAATTAAGCAATAAATTGTTCTACTTTAAAACGTTAGTTCTATGTGGTTCTTACCTGTTTGAGTACATCTAAGATGAGCTCATTAAAGACTTCATTGATGGCCATGGACACCGTCTGTCGGTCCATCCCTTTACTAAACTGCCCACTTCCGATGAGATCAATCAGCTCCCACGCAGAAAGACCTTCTCGACTGGTGTTGAGAGCAATCTTATAATGGTCAAACTGCTCTTGCTGCCAGCCTGCCCCCATTGCTTCAGTGAGTTTTTTAAGTAAATATTCAATCTGTAGAGAAATACAAACAGAAATTAATCATTTTCGGCAGGCATGGAAATCAAGTGTTTCAGAGCTGTAAACTAAGCTTCTCTAGAGACTGTCATTACAGCTAGATTACCTACGTTCACATGCAGGCCCCTAAATGTAGGGGGTTTAATTAGCAAAGATTTTAGGCTCCTGCCTCAGTTGAGCTTTTGACTGCCAAGCTCATCCAGCAGCTACTCTCTTCATAGTAAAGAAACAAAGCATTGAACCTGACAGCCTCTCTTAGTGTTTCAGATTCCTAGAGAACATATGGGACCTTCCCTGCATCAGCTTCCAAACCGTGATGGCTGAAGTGCAAGAAAGCAGTAAGCTTCAAAAAATATTCTTGTAAGATAAAAAGCAAACAAATTAGAAAAAATAGGAAAAGATGACAGTTTGGACAAGAAGTGAAATGAAAAACTACCAAGGTATGATCACATATCTTAGTCTTCACCTGACCCCTCTTCTCTAGCTCTCAAGCACTCCGTCACGGGACACAATCCTGGCAGATGTATCAAGAGTAGTAAAAGAACAAATTTTCGGTGTCCGCTTTTCTTGTTTCCAAAATAAAGCTCTCCTTTTCCTTTAATCTTTCATCATTCTGTAAGCATTACCATACCCGAGTAATAGCACCAATAACACTAGTCAAAATAAACAGAAGAATGAAAAAGAGGGAGAGAAGTCTGGCTTTCTTCTTTTGTCTATTTTTTATGTTGTTTTTAAACTCAGCACTGTTTGTTCTTTAAATAACAGCATTTTAAACTAAGACCATCTACAGCTTTGAGCACATGTAAAATGCTTTTAATGGCTCTTTAAACAAAAGAATTGGCAAGAGCCTTCCCACAAAGACCTCTACACAACGAAGTAAAAGCCTCGCTTCTAAGCTTCTGTGACTGAAGTCACAGGACATCAACCACAGCATTTAACCCAGTTTTGAAGACAGACCAAGCTAATGTGGCCTTCTGCTGTTTTGGACAATGGCTCACTGATTTCTCACCAGCTTTGCAGGGAACCCAACTGCCTTCAGCAATCAGCCAAGGCAGACAGTAAAGCCGCCTGCACCCTCCCTAAGGGGGAAGTCTGGGGAGAGGGTGCTCAGTAACCCCGCACTGGAGCACCCTCCCGCACCAGCCCACCACAGGAACAGGGCAGCACCAGCTCCCCCAAGGGTTGGCCTTTCTCTCCAGCCACCACAAGGCCAGCACAGAACCACCTCCTGGTAGGTCAGTCCAAAAGCTGCGGGGCTGGGTTCATCCCAGCTGCCCTGCTATTCTACAGGCATGAGGGATGCAACAGGGTGGGAACTGCACACTGCCCGGTGGAGGTGGGGCGGGAAAGCACCACAATCGTTTCAGGTTCTCTCTGTGCCCATGGGAATAACACCATTTCCTTACATGCTGCTTTTCTGGAGGTTAGTCCTTCAGGACAGTCTGCTCCACTTTCAGTTCACCTGTTTCGGAAACACTGACTCAGGAGTCTGAACCCCATTATCAAAAATGACTACAGTGTACAGCATGAACATGCCTCACTGAAAAGCGGTGGAAACCAAATGCTTTCCACAACCCCGTTTTTCTAATCATCAATGCTGGTTCACCTCTGTTCCTCAGCACTGCTTGAAAACACAATGTAATTTCTCCTACAGGTAAGAAAAATCCCAGCTGAGAGCCCCGCGTGTTTCACCACAGAATAAATTAACTTTTTAGATACAGTTCAGAGGCACTTTTCAGCTGGTCTAATAGGCTTTTGAGCACCCAGCGGTCTCTGTGTGAGAGATTTGGGAGTACAAAGAAATGAAGTGTTTTTTCCCCCACGCATTTCACCACAAGGACTCCCAGCCTCAAGGTTCTGATGCAGCATACATGCTAATTTTGTGGCTGCTGCTTCTGTCTCTTGCAACAGGTACAGACAAATCCCATCCTTTCTCTCACATCTATGATCAAGAAACACACAAGCGTGTAGCAGAACACACCCATATGGCAAAGCAATAAATTACCAAATTCACCCTACAGATGGGTGGGGCTTTTCTTACTATTTCAGCCCAGTAACTGTTCTTAGTCTCACAGCTCCTACTCCAGTAGCATGTGGTCTAATGCTACAGCAAAATGGAGAAGCTACTGAAAGCTGCTGCACTGTCTAGAGGCAAGTTCCTGCTCTGTCGAATGAGCAGGAAGCGTATATCCCTCTGAGATGTGGCTGGCGTGTCCTCCTTGTAAAGACTGTCTTAAGAGAAGACAGGCTAGTCAGGCACAGAATCCGCCTCCAGGGATTACAGAAATTGTAGAGAGCACTGCTTTTCCTTTCAGCTTCACCGAGTAAGGCATTCAAGTATTTTTAGCTCCTCATGCAATTCTTACTAGCAAAGACAGGATCCAAGCAGAGGCCTCTGCAAAAGCAGCATTCAAATGTAGGCAAGTGCAACTAACGCAGGGTACAAGGTTCAGGGTAATCACGGAAAGTGACTTCCAACTCTGTCCCAGGTTTAGGGAAAGCAGCTCGCAGGGAGGGCATGCCCGCACGCCTGCTTCGCCCTGCCAGGCAGGCCAGGGAGGTGGCAGGGGCCTCCTGCTGCTGCAGCGCCAGCGCTCCGCTGCACCATCTTCACTGCTGCTCGTACTCAGACTGTTCACCAGAACGAGTCATAAAACTGCGGTGGTTCCACGCACAGCTCCTCATCGCTGAAGGTAATAGTCACATGACAGCAAGGAAATTTTAGAACGCCCTCCCAAGCAGCCAACATACAACTTTTACTGGATTTCTACAAAATTCAGTAACTAATTCCTTTAAAAATCTTTAAAAAATGCTTTGCTGACTTTCAGTCTCCAAAATCCTTAAATTAAAAAACTAATCCAAGGCTCCTGAGCATCAACTAACATAAATCCTCAGCATTCAGTTAAAGGCAGGAAGCAGCTTACTTCCTAGTCCAGACAAGTTTTATACAAAAAAAACACCACCCACCCAAAAAAGCCCTTCACAGCATGCAAGAACAGTAGCACTGCAAACTTGTTTCAAAACAAACCTCCTAAAATCTGGATTTGATGAGCTTAAATGAGTTCTGGCACCAATGCAAGAGCAGCTTTTTTCCCCATGTTCAAAACACCTTCTGCCACTCAGCTCAGCCCCTCTGAGCAGCATCAGTTCTGGGCTACGATCCTGTACTTCAGCTGAAAGGAAAGCTACAGTAACTGAGGCTTAATTAGGTAGATAATATACCTGACAAAATGCTAGGCAGTGATTAAAAAAAAAAAAACCCAAAGCATTAAAACTTAATGAACTTTAACTTTAAAATGTATCGTTCCAAGATTTCACAACCTCTGAGCCTGCTTGAGGCATGCAGCTCTCAAATTCCTTTGGTTAATTATCTCAAAGTACTAGGACTCACTTGCAGACAAAGGGACACAGGCAAAAAAATACCTGGACAGATTTTTTCACTTTTTTGCTGAAGCCATATGAACTAAATGTATATCAAATTAATGGTCTGGAAAAGAAGCAATGCAAAACTCTTGGCTACTACATGTTATCACGTAACACACTAAAAAAGTCAATATATCCTTTTCCTTTAATGTAATTTGTACACATTTTACCTTATTTTGATTATTAGAACAGATTCAAACATTTAAGTCTGCTAACCCCCATCTACAAGTCACTAACATGACCACAAACATCCTATAATCCCATTAAAGTACATAAAGTATCTAATTATTTTTAAATACACTAACTCTCCTTAACTGAAAAAGGACCTGTGCATATTACAATTTAATTTCTAAAATAAATTAAAAAAAAAATTCAAGCCTTATCTTGCATTCAGATAACACAACTAACCAAAGTCCCCAGAAAAATTTTATCTAACATATCTGCTCAATAGCAGCAGTGAGTGTTGTCGTGGGGTATCAATATGGAGCAGTGAGAGGTAAATAGAACTAAGCTGGATCAGCGTGGAAGCAAATACACCATTCATTATGTGCTGAAATGAGGAACCTCTGAGAGCAAATGACATTTCCCCTCCTCCACAAAGAAACATGTCAACTCAGCAAATAACTGACCAATTAAGTCTACTGGCTCAAACATAAGCTACTCTCATGGCTAAAACGTACAGTGTCGAAAAGCAAACGTGAAGCAACATTTGCTACTATTCTGACCGGACCTTACTTTTCAGCTATGGACGTACAAACATGGGAGGACTGCTAACGCTACGTACTCCAGTATGGACCAACTGGCTCCCCAGGATGAAAACCAGCTTCCATCTAAAATCAACAGAAACTTTTCATCTAGACTTTTGCCAAGAGAAAGCAAAAAATAACAAAAAGAACAGAGGCTCTTTAACACAAGCTATGCAGCCCGTTTGCTATCTTTCAGAGGGTATTTTCTTTTCCCATGTCTGTTTTTGTTTTTCCTTTCGCAGGTATTCCTGGCATTATCCTCCATCGGTAATGAAGTATCATAGATGTTTCACATATTTTTCTGATATACAAGTAGGTCTCTTCGAAGATGAGAAATGAAAAATTACGTTAAGGAGGCCTTCATGCCCAGCAGAGCATGGCAGACAAGGCTATTCTGGTTCATACTATTCAAATAAGGTTTGTGATTTTAACAAGAGCAGATGTAAAAAGTCTATTCACATTGTACAAAATTCTGTGGAAGCATATGTTACTGGGCAAGAGACATGAAAACAATCATATCCCCTTTCACAGTCATCATCAATTGCATTTTTCATCCGATCAGACCATCACTTACTTTTAAGTCAAACATTTGTTTCTTCCTTTCCAGCAACAAAGCTGTGTTCATTATCCAGTGTAAGCCATCATCTTCTTTCTTTTTTTTTTAAATTAAATTAGCATTAAATAGTATAATAAAGGTCAAGTCAAAAACCAGTGTAACACATAAACATGTAAACCCTAAGGACAACCTGCTGCGTAAGCTGAAAATTATTTTTTGCAGTGATCAAGGAAAAAGGTAGTGAAACGGGAAGAACTGATGCAAGTCATAAGCCACGAAAAATCTTTCTAACCATCATCATCAACTTATGGAGAGCATTTTTTCCCCCCCCCCCCCCCCCCCCCCAAGCAGATTTCATTCTAGGTGTATCAGTTTTGATTTTATTTCTGAATGGCCAAGGTTCAATTCCCTGTATTTCATTCACAGTATCAGGTTTTTGTACTAGAATGCAGAACAAGGAAGTAAACGTGGTCACAAAAAAAACTTCATTCTGCCAGAAATGCCTCCAGAAGAATCACTGCTGGACAGCTTCAGACTTTCACCTCCTCAGTCTAAAAAAACTACCTCATCTTCAAATGCACAGAAAGCCACACCTCATGGAAGAGGTAACGCCTGTGAGAGCTGAAGGAAACACGCACTTGGATGTCTGCGTCTCAAACGATCCAATGGAAAAGACTGGCTGCAGGGAGGGGAAGGAGCTCCCACCCAGCTCCCCGCTTTCCAGGTGCATTAGCAATATAGCTGCTTGGTAAAGCTCTGCCCACTGCACCAGAAGGCATTTCTGTCGTTAGCAGAGAACTGTATTAATCTGAAAGCTGTCCATCAGGAGTACTTTTAACTAGAGAAAACAAAATACAGCGTTGTTTTCCTCCAGTCCATCTGGAGAAAATGTGAAATACCACATTCACCCATTTCATAGAAGTGTTTTAGTTTGTGCATACCAAGGCTTCTCACTTGAAAGGGGAGGGAGCTTTCAGACTTGATACCATTTCACATTTCCCCAGGACACGAGCACCTTTGCAAAACAGACATTCATGGATCTCTGCTTTTCCAACTCTCCCTACTGCTCAGCTGCCCACCAGCAGCCAGCAGAAGCAACACTGGAGCCCAAGGCCATTACCAGCTGAGTCCAGCACCGTGCATAGCCACCAGCTCTTACCTCTCTGTGACCTGACTTCCCATAACATAGAGGGGTCCTCTCAGGCTTAAAGTCACATCCCAAACCCAAGCCATTCCCCATGTTGGATTTTTACTAACTTTATTTCCCTCAAGTGCAGGGCTGCCATCTCTCCTTCCACGGCAGGTGAGAAGCGCAGGCCAGAAGCTGCCTCTAGCTTTCAGTCTGGCCTCTGCTAAATGAGCAACTTCTAGACCTTGTGTCACCTCTCCACTGCTTTCAAAGTTCCTCTTTGTGACTACTTTCCTCACTTCGCTCCTTCTAAAGCTTTCCTCAGCCTGCATCTCCAAAGCCTTTCAAAGTAGCCTGCTTTCCCCTCTCTGGTTGAGTTGTAGCTGTTCCAATTTGGTGCCCATTCAACACCTGGGCAGGGAATCAAGACTTAACACTCCGCAGACGGGGTAACAGCCCCACCACAATTAGCTGTCTAATATAAAAGGACTAGCACAGCAGCACTAGCACAAAGGTATGCAACATGGGCAAGAAGGAAGGACAGCAGCCTCAGTGTTTAGTCAGCACAGTGCAAAGGCGGCAAAACTGCAGACAAGCTGGGGAGTTTTCCAGATGCGACATTGTGCAAATGAGCGCAGAAACCACTTATTAAAAAAAAAAAAAAGGAAAATCATGCTCCCAAGCAGGTCTCAAAGAGCAGCTCCTCCAAGGAGGAGGAAGACAAGGCAGCCTCATAGCCACATGAAGTTGTATCAACACATTCACTGGAGACTTAAGAAGTTCTTTCTGTTTTAATGTTCCCATCCACAAGATGGGATGCAAAAATCTTCAAGGGATCACACCCTTCCAACCTGAAAGTATGAGGCAAGTTCCCTAGTTACTTATAAAGGGGAAACAAAATCTGCAAAACCCAAAAGCCTACAAGGTGGAAGGGAGGGAGGAGGGGAAACAGCTGGATCCCACACAAAGGACAACAAGCCAGAAACTGCAGTAAATTGTATGTTGCAATATTCTCAGCCAACGATAAGAGCAACAGACAGGGAGGGAAGGAAAGCTTGCTCCCTGGCTGGGAAGCTATAGTCACCCATGAGAGATTTACATCTCTCTCACCAAAACATAAACATCACAAAACTGCAATGCTTCCATCACCCTCTCCTCTGTTCCTTAATTTGCAAAAATCCCCTCACTTTATACATGATGTAGAAGCCATTTTGTAATTAAATGAAAGCATGCAATATAAAGTGGTAAAGACTAAATATATAATCAAGCTTTATTATGAACTCAAGAGGCACAAAAAGTAAATGGAAAAAAATCCCACCTTTACTAGTTACCAGTACCATTTTGAATACTATTGAAAAGAGTTATTTTCAGGTGGAAATTCTCAGCAGTAAGTCAACAAGTTTGTACAAAAAAAAATGCTTTGCAAATCTGGAGTTTAGATTTAACACAAAAAAACCCAGACATAAGAACATAAGGCAGATATGAAAGGTCACACAGAGAAAAAGCAAAACCGACAAAAATGGAGACTTTGCTTCTTTACTTTTGGAATTTTGTGTAAAAGGGTAAATAAGTAAATGTGGAATTTTCTAGAGTCAGAGAACGCGACAACGGCCAATGCAAACCAGAAAGGAGTGCGTTTAACAAACAGCATTCCTCTGCTGGCTGATTATATTACCTGTGTGGTCTAAGGCAAAAGGTTAGAGTGAATACAGGCATTGTATATGATAAGAACAGAGCAGCCTTTCTTTGTCAGGCTCTATAAGCTTTCTTTAAACAGTACTGCACAATTTAAATCTTGCCATGATGAAGGAGATACAGACACAGATCCACCCTAAGAATTTTAAAAATAACCCAAGTAGAAAAGCAATACAGGTTAACCGTGGACATTAAGGATGGGAAGGAAAGCAAACAGCAGCTATGAAATCTGGAAAACCTCTTTTGGGCTCGGAGCTGACTCCGCAACCCATCTGCCAACAAAGAGACACAGTGCCATTACCTGGGATCAGCTACTGAAGGCAGCTCGAATCTGGTGGCTTGCTTGGTGGAGGGAAGCAGCAATGCTGACACCCCAGAGCTAGCAGGTCTGAAATTTTTAACCATGCCAACAAATAAGGAGATGGGAAATATCTACCCTCAGGTAAGCCAAGCTGTGCAGTGGGGAACACAACAACAAACCAGAGACATGGATTTGAGTCCCAGTTTTGACATTTGTTAGTGGCTCTGACCTTCTACCAAAGCCAAATCTGGCACCATTAAGAAAGGAGCTATCTTTGCTTTTATAACCATGACCCCCGTCTCCCAGAACTGGCAGAAAAAAAACCAGGAAACCAAGCAAGAAGACTGTCCCATATCTCATGGGAATATAGCATGCCAGATAGGACCCTGTCATCAGCAGCCTGCCAAAAGCAGAAACATTGTATAGAGTGGAAGTCTTCTGCTAAAAAGTGATTGATAACGCAAAACCAAGCAGTTTATTTTGATGGAAGAGTTATCTGTACTTTATGGTTCGGCACAACAGCTTGGAGTCCAACAGTTATGTCACAGTGGCATGTAAATCAGACTGGTTTGGTCCCTGACTGTTCAGCAATTTGCAAATATTTATTAATCAGTACTCCAGTGCTGAACTGCAAACCCCTGGGATTTCTGCATACAGTTTTGCAAAAGGTTATTTATGCCTACAGTTCTGATTGTTCTGCTTCTTCTCTCACCCCTCCGCAAGGGGAGAATAGTAGAGATACCAAAATCTTGCTTCAGGGTTAAAATACCTACTTGAGCGTTGCCCATACTTGTTCATGAACTTAAAGTATAAAGAGATCTCTCTGGTATTATTCATTCAATCATTTCGAGCAAGAGTGTTCAGGTGATGACTGCTTTTGATCAGAAACAGACATGATCAGAAAAGTTTGTACTTCTTTTCATCAAGAGGGTGACAGGAGACTGAAGACCCCTCTTACAACTCACAGTAACACAGAGCAGAGGGGAGGGGGTTTTTTTCAGACTCACACTGATGTACAAACTGTGCAAAACGTTAACCACATATAAGCAAGTGCAGTGATTACCGATCACATACATGCACTACTCAGGAGTGAAGCAAGAACCTCAACAGCTCTGACTGCTGGTACTGGAGCTAGTGTCCCCAGCACCAGTCAGTCCTCACAAAAAGCAAAATAAGCTATCTACTAGGGGGCAAGCAGCACGTTCCATTTAGTCCAGGCTATTTAAACGACAGACACACACATAGCCATCAATATCTAAAGTATCTTTTCTCTTAAATCTCTAGAGAGCAGCAAACATGAACATAGTTTAACTGGGAGGTTAAGCAAACTGGTGTTAAACAGCTTAAGTTTCTTACCTCCTCAGGTACAATGATTAAAGGGTATTTGTCCTCTGATAAGAAGTTAAAAATAACCCACACTTTAAATGCATCTTCCTCGCTAATCAGCAAAGGACTTTTAGAGAGGTTCTTTTTAGCACAGAGAGTCCAGCACATCCTGTTGAATTCAACTTTGTCAAAGTTTCCTTGAACCTAAAATGACGAAATTGGACAAAAAGAATTAATATGCATGAATGGCACAGAGTAACAAACAGACAAAGTTTAACAAGCTAAATCATACAAAAAGCATCAAGAAAATTCTAGTTTGCAAGAAATGTCAAGGCCCAAAAAGAGCACTGTAGCAGCCTAGTTTTACTTCCTGCATGGGGTCAACTAAGGAATTCTTCCAGCAAAATCTACATCCAACCTCCAACTTCTGGTCAAGTTAATAACACCCTGACTTCATGTGAAGGAGGCTACACCACATTCTGCATTTCCTCCAGCACATTAGCGTTAGCTTCCAAACTGTCTTCATAACTGTCTCAGTTCCAACAGCCCTTCTACCGCGCTAAGTTACTGCAATATTATATAGTAAATTCAGAAACCAACATAGCCAAAACTACACTTGGATATGCTAAAAGTGATATTGAAACAATAGCTGGGAAAGACTTTTAATGTATTTTTCCACTTCATGTTACTCAAATGTAACTCTTACAAGATATTCATAAACATCTCATAATTTTTTATTGACTGCTAATCCACTTACAACCTTTCCTTTTTCTTAGACTTGCAAATCTTCACCTTATTGATAAAAAAATTTCTCGTTTGCATTAGCCTATCATACGTAGCAAACGTAACATACCCATCTGTGAATTATTCACATATGCAAAAGCTTTCTTTATTTTCTTTATAAACCCTCATTTATGTTACAGATTAAATCTATTTATCTCCCTACAGCTTCGCAATGATATTTCTTTGCCAACATGTAACTGATAAAGGCATGTTCTGCGCTGTAATATTAGTCCCTTGTGATTTCAGAAACCATGTCTAAGAAACAGGTTCTTGTACCTCTTGTGGTAACGACACCAGCACCTTTCAGTGACATTTTCTTATGGTAAACCAAACCATGCATCTTAGATGCTTCAAGGACACCATTGCAAACTGTATAATCTCCTTTCCAGTCTGGTAAGTGGTCAAACATAGTGGAGGGTGAGCCACAGCGGCTAAGTCAAAGCTAGACTAAGGAAGTGGATGAACTGATGTGGGTGGAGGAAAAAAAGGAGGGGGGGGAGGGAAGGGAGAAGTAAACAGGAAACCAACCCTATGCCAAGAAGCACTTCACAGTACAGTTTCCAGGACCAAAAGTGAGACTACAAAAGGAAGCCATACACTTTGCATGCTTGCAGAGCAGGCCACCAACGTAAGTGATAATGAAAGAGGCCAGCTACAGGCTACAGCTGTCCTTTGAAGAAGGTGGAAGCTGTAGGAGCTGTAAGTGCTATAGGCACAAGCTGAACATCCTGGTTGTTCACACAAGAAACAAGGGTCTTAAATGAAACACCAGCTAAGCAAATGAACACCCTTTGGAATAAGGGCTAGAAATCAGAATCCCTTCTCCTTCCTTCAATTTGCCAGTGCCTCATCCCTGGGCTACTTTTGCCTGTCCTTTTTCCTTGTCTGTTCTCCCCACCCTGCCCAATGAAGCTTGATTTCTAAACCAGCTGATGATGAGCAGTTCCACTCTGGAAATGACCTAGTGGTTATGCTACTCTGGAGAAAGATGCCAATGGTGGGAAAGCTCCTTTGCTACAGCCACCACCTGGCAAATGCTCTAAGCACTATAAATAAGGTGGGTTGCCCTACAAGCAGCTCATGTTTTAAAGCATGGCAGCAATCAATGACCACAGGGAGATGGGTGGAGAAAGGCACAGGCCAGGGTAAAGGAAAGTGTGTGGTTTCTGCTCATGTAGCAAAATCAGACTGCACGTGCCTCAAACTCGTGTCAAAACCCAAGTCACCTACAGGATGTTACTGCCACCAGGATTATGCAGCAGCCAAGCAGGAGGCTTCAGGACCATTTTGCCTCACGGGACTAGGTCACGCTGTGTCAGCGGTCCCACTTTAGACTTTTTCTGAAGTCCCCTTTTAGAGCTTTTCTAAACTCCTTTTTTCAGAATCCAGACTCAATTCTGAAATGGACTTCATGGGAACCATGTGTCATCCAAAGCAGAGACACTGTTTAGGAATTATTCAGGAACAATAATCAGACGAGCGCACAAGCCCCTGCTCTCCAAAAGAACTCTGATTTGCATCTGTGGCTTTTTTTTCTAAATCATCAGGCTGGCTGTTAAATAAAGGATATAATCACAAAATTGTTGTTCTGTGGATATTGGGAGCCAGGGATGGAACTAAATAGTTCTCTCTAATGAAGAATAAAAATTTTCCTTGGCAATTTCATGTAGCCAACTATTGCTGGTATCTATGTTCTACAAGTACATTTACAGAGGGTGAGAGGGGAAGGAAGGTGAAAATCCCGCAACTAAACCCAAATTGCTTTAGAGCTAACTCCATACTTAGATGTTCAAAATAGTCTTGGTTGTGCTACTTTGGCTTTCTGGACTGGCAACACTCCACTCTAGGTAGCTACATAATAATTACTCTGAATGAACAATTTCTCTGGATTTATGACTGGTGATTTCTAAGCATAGCTTCAAAAATTAAAAATATTTGAACAGTTTCTAAAGTTATACTTGAATTTATTTGCAAAAGTACTTCTAACTTAGTTAAGAAACTGCAAAAGTAGAAGCTTTTCAAACAGGAGGAACTGAAGGCAAGAAAACCAGTCATTAACCCATATACACATTGCTTTTTCATGGCATGAAGAAAACACGTATTTATAAAAACAGATTGGGTCAAAGACTATCCTGGTATTTAAATGGAAACAGAATTTCCCAAAACATCTTTAATTACAGCAAGACTCTATTGTGAATCCCACACTCAAATCATCTTGGTGTGAAACTAGAAGAAATTTATGACACTTTACTGAGAAACCAAAATTTCAATTTTATTTGGCCAGAATACTCATCCGGCTTGCAACCTGTGTGAATACCACACAATTCTATTGCTTAATTAATGAACAAATTCTTGTACAAGACATTTTTCCTGTGCACTAGTACATGCTTTTAACTGTACTTCATAATTTGTCCCAATTACGTGAAGTCACCATTTTATTTGGAATCTTCTACAGCAGGCCACACTATTGACTACAGCAACTATCATTTTTATTTGTGAATCTGTCCAAATGATGAAACATGCCAATGAACCGACACCTCCAACCTCAAAGCTGCTTAAACTCATAGAGATAAAACCACGATAAGACATCTACTTTTCCTTTCTAAGAGGTTTCACAAAACAATCAAAAGAAAAATGCAGCAAACCCCATACAATTTTCTAGATCTTTAACTTCTACTAATATGCAAAGTATAATTTACCATCATCAGTATCTTACCAAATAACTCTAAAACCTAAGGAAATACAGAAAATACTTGGCTTAAGTACCAGTGATAAGAATAGTTCCAAAAATATAACAAGCATTTGTAGTGTAACTAGCATTCACTAAATTGTCTGGAAGATGAGATAACCTGAGGTTTAGATCGATGCCCTTCTTTGTCTCCCCCCATTATGACTCTTCCCTGCTATAAATAAGTCATGTTGTAAAATACCATGATTACTGAAAAGGAAACATTTTTAATTGGTATTAAGACACACATTGTAAATAATGGAACACGCTAAAATACAGTTACGAAACCAAGTAAAACAAATTATGAAGACATTACATTCACAAGCAACAGCTCCCTGCTGAAACGGACACTTAGAGAACAAGAACAGATTTCGTTTCAGATGCAAGAAAATCCTAGATACATCTATCTGCTAAGTAACAAGCAGCACAATACTGGAAATCATCAATGAGGCAACACTAATTATTGGAACTATTTATTCAAACTCCCTATTTGGATAAAGGAAATTAGTTGCAATCAATTTGCCTCATTAAACTACGGACTTGTGCCTTTCTTGACAATTCCTTGGTTCTATATAAAGAAGCTTTATTGCAGGGTAACGGAGGGTAAGCCAGCACTAAAAAATATAAAAAGCTACAACGGCATTTTAGAGTGCAACAGAAGTTATTTTAAGCCCTCTCAATAAAATTATAATTCGCAGCTACATATCTGTTTTAAAAGAAATAGAAGGATTTATTCTTTAAATATTTTAATAATGTTATAAAGCAAAGTATCTTGAGAGTAAAAAAAACCTCTCTTGAGCAGGTTGCTTTTGCTCAAATTAATTAATTCACCAGAAGATGTATGACTGGAAATTGAGAGAACTTCCTCTGTATTTGGGGGCATAAAGCACCAGTCCTTCTTTAGCAGCTTTGCTTACTAGCATAAATTAATAGCATTTGTTCTACAATCACCCCATCTAAAAGAACAGATTAAGCCTTGGAAGAATGAAAAAAGAAGGGGTTTCTTGTTTGCTTTTTTTGCTCGTTTGTTCTAAACAAAGGAGACATACTATGAACCAGTGACTTCATCCCACTGCATGTTGTCTTTTGGCACTTATGTAAAGTCATCTCTAAAGGATCAGATCTTTCCAGGCCACACAGACAGACTTCTGTCTAAACAATTTCACTAATTTTTAATAGTACATATCTAAAGCATTTACAAGCATTTAGTCGGGATTAAATAACATGAAGTTACAGGTAACTTAATCCTGTTCCTTAACATTTTCATCTTTTAAGATGAACTAATGGTATGGGTATATCAGGCAACTACCGGAAGCCAGATCAGTGTATGAATAGAACAACGCAAGAAACTACACGCCATCATGCTTTTTCCTTTCATGAGAAATCAAGGTAGCTTGTCCTCTGTTTTTACCATGGGGTAAGAAGGTGCCCCAGAGTAGCTAAACACTGCAAGTTCACACCAACTTGCTTTTGTAGCCAGGTCTTTCATTTTCAAATTAAAGAGTATTTAAATGCAATTACTCCTCATTTCCCTAACTATTCTTCCTATAAACACCCTTTAACAATAAAGGACATTTATATTTGAAAAGTCTTCCAATCCTTCCCCCCCTCCTTAATGGTTTGCTACTGCCTACAAATAATATTAACAAAAAACACTCTGGTTGAGACTCTACTACCATAATGCTTTGGAGACAATAAAGTAAGGCCTTTTCTTTTTCCCCAAAACTTGTATACAAACTGCTTGGTCTCCACTGAATCTTACAGGAGCTCAGCCAGCCAACATGAAGTGGAAATGAGATCACAAACTTCTTAGGGACAGAGCAAGATTCTTCAGCATCAAACAACCAAGACATTAAGCTGGTACCTTTATGTGTTTTAACGGCCAACAACTCCCACACATAAACCAGGTCTCCACTACTGGGTACAAGAGAAGCACAGACTAGAGCGGCAGAGGAGCTGAGAAGTCTTAGCAAGATATAAGAAGCCTCTACTGCTTCCAAGCTGCCAGTCTGCATTATGTTTATCTCACTTTCCACCAGTATTAAAAGTAGATTGAAGCAGCAGCAAAAATCAGCAAATCGGGCTAAGGAGTTTGCATAATCTGCAATTGCTACATTTGACTTTTCAGCAGCACGTCAGTTCAGGTCTTCTTAACGTTATGAATGAAAGCAAACATCTATGTATCTCTGCAACCACACCATCAAAGTATGAGGACTTCCGGGGTCAGCCAGAAAGCATACAAGAAATCAGTGGTATTGAAGCTGATATATTTGCACTATCACATGGGCTGTATTTTACCATCTACACCAGTATCTCAACAGAAGTTGTCAGAAAAAAAGCAGGAAGATAGTTTTGGGGTTTTCTTTTACTTTCAAACCCAGTGACTGCCTGTCTTAGAACAAGATGGAGAGTAGGAGGAACCCTGCTGGCTTTCCACCAGAGCTTCCCCCAAAACAAGGCACAACAGAAGACTGAACAGTGCTTAGACATGAAAGAAGAGAACTTGCAAGATGAAACCTAACAACACTCCCTAATGTCACCCACTGTAATTATTTGAAAGGATCTATTTATTAAAATACCTTGTGAATAGGCATTAAAGATATTTTTGCCCTTCCTGTTTGCAAAGGAGTCTATGACAATATTCTGTGTTATAGCTGTAGTATAAAGTGGGGCAATCTATAGCTCCAAGACACTTTCAAATAAATTCAAGCTGAGGTGCTTTATTAATACAAACACGGTTCTGCATGAACATAGCTTAGACAATACCAGATGTAACAGGAAATAGAAAAGGAGAGAAAAAAGTAGTAGAGAACAGTGCACCCTTCCATTCTAAGGCACAGGCTCTCCAGAGTGCCTGCCCCATCACAACCCCACAGGGGCACACTCACAACCAGAATGTCTTCACACCAGCATGTTCCCTGCAAGACGTCTACAGTAAAGACACTCTAATACAAAACCTGATGAAGAGAAAAATAGAACACAAGAATTCAAAACTTACCTTTTCCAAGATGAATTTGTTTAGATAAGGCATATAACCCTGATTGGAAACTGGTCCTTCATCATCATCCCTAAAGTGCTCTTCCAAGGCCACTGGATCGTGGGGAACATTTAACACTGTGCACAAGTTGTGAGAAAGGACCTAGGGACACAAGAGAAATCAGTGACACTGCTGTCAGCCTTAAACATGCTGCGGTTCCCTCCAGAGCAGACCTGTGATTTGCAAAACCATGCACAAAGCGACACTTTCTTCTCAGCACAAGTTCTGCCCTGCAGATTTTTGTCAAAAAACAAAACGTAACTAAAAAAGTTGACTCCACGGATTCAAAGGCTTCAGACAGTTGCACATTTACAGAAGCAATGTGATCACAGACAGGTCCATTCCTACAGAAGTGCAAACACAGCTACAGAAACTACCCTTTGTACACATGTACTTATGGACTGAAAACCAGGAGAGGCATTCAAAAACACCAAAGTAATATTTAGAGAGTGAAATTAAATAGCTATGGAAAACAACCACAAACACTTAGCCTTTGAAATTATAAATATTTACTCTCTAGTGAAAATTACTAACAAAGAAAACAACTCAATATGCACCTGTAGTTCACAAAGAAATGACCACTCAAAGCACTAACTATGGATTTCTCTCATCTGTTTGCTTTTGGGTTGCTTCTCAACATTCACCCCATGTTTCAGTTGGCAAGGGAAAAGTAATGTTATAGAAAGGAGAAGGGTTTAGGCATGCTTCTCAAATTTTTATTTTAAAAAGGTATTTGCATGAATTAAGTCAAGAGCTTAACACCCACCAGCACTCCTGAGAAATGACCTTCAAGAAGAGGCTACACGCTTGATTAGTTTTAAGGAAGTACTGAATTACTGAAAACTAACCCGCAGCCAATGCATCTCAGCTTCTTCAACTTGGGGGGAGTTTTGCACATGCAAACTAATGCCTCAGTACCAACAACAGAAAGGCAGAGCCTAGGTAGCAGCAACTCCTGTGCCACCACAATGCTTCTAAGGAAGGCACAGACTGCAACTGAATTCTGGTGTATATTTTACTTTTTCACTGTGCAGTATAAAATTAAAAAAAAAAAATCCCACAGGCCCAAACGATGCAAAAAGAAAGCAGTAAAAAAAAAGTGCAGAAAATTTATAAGTGCATCTATTTAGGTGAGCAGACATAAAGCAGTCAAGATGGGGTAGCTGCAAAACAAGAAGTGAAAGTCTGAAGTCGTCAAAGCCTAGGAAATCAAACCTATGCCACACTTAAAATGTCTGGTCTTCTCCCCCTCCACCCCCCAAAATAATGTACATTTACCTTTCGTATGTACCATAAGGAGACACGCACAGTCTAAGCACTAGTTATCACAAAATCCTACAAAGATAGCCCAAGAGCAGTGTGGAAAGCATGCAAGTTCAGTTCAGAGGAGAATTCCTCTCCGAGTACCTCCAAAGCTACACTTTTTTTTTTAAGAAAAGCACACATTTCCACAAGAAATACATCTTTTCATTGCCATATGATAACGTTAAGCCACTGGAGCTAAGCAGGCACAAAAGTTTAAAAACAGAAAAATTGTAGCATTGGCCATATTACGACAAAAGCTCTATTTCCCAGAGTAGCAAAATAGTATTTAGAAGTTATCACGTATCACACTGCCCTCCATCAACAGTATAGTTCCCTTCAATCTATCCTTATTTTTAACCACCACATCGAATCAAGTATTTGAGTCCATGTGATTTACATATGGGGGGGGAAAAAACGTATTATCATGAGTGTTTCCCCTTCTATTTAAGGCTTCTGTTGTTATTTATAGAAGACTGAGGGATTCTTGAATTTCTGAGAGATAAAGATGATCTCAGTTTTCCAATCAGACTGTAGTGGCTAATACTATAACTAAAAAAAAATACTCGGCTAATAAAAATACTCTAAAAGCATAACTGATTTAAGCTTACTACCAAAATAACTCTAAAGTCTCAATAAAACACTTTCTCATCATGTCCTTTCTGTGTGTTTCTCTCCTCCCTTTTTTGGCCTTCTTGCTGTATTTGGGTTGTCAGAAACCTTGGTGGTTTTCTGCATCAAGCAACCAATTTACCGGGAAAGAATTCCACTTTCAATCATTTTCTAAGATCTGCCTTATCTGCGATCTCTCCTGTGCCCAACGCTCTCTTTTCATAACCCAGGAAATTCCTCAGCGCCTGCCAAAGCTTGCCATTCTCTAACACGGCCAAGTGCCAGCTGAATTCTTCAGTTGCAGGGTAAGCTTGAAAAATTCTGCACTGAGTTCTCGTTTTGTTGTGTTCTCTCAAATTATTATTTGGACCATGATATAGTCTATTTTAATGATCAATTTGGAAAAAAAAAAATCTAGCAGAGTACTACATTAATTTGGGTATAAAAAATGGCTTTGCCTTGCAGAAGGTCCATCAACCATGAGGAAGTTTTGCACCAGTAGGGCTATTCCCCCCCGTGCCCATAGGGTTGCTAGGCAGCTTTTTCTTTCAGCACTTACTATGCTCTGGATGCCCCGTTTAACAATCTACCTTCATGCCAGAGCCAACTACTACCCCAAGCCTAGAGACTCATCTCTGTGCTGCCACAAATCAGTACAGCAGTGGTCCCGAAACTGTAGGCCGTGAGACAGTACAAGCAGTCTGCAAAGGGTCCACACAACCAGTGCACTCTCGGCAGAAATTTTCCATTTTCAATGAAAAGGTTCGTAAGAAAGATGCCTACCAGTGCCCAGGGAATACTGAAGGTGTTCTGCTCTAAATAACTGGATGAAACAAGCAAGCTGAACCCCAAAGGTCATTACAGACTTTGGATATACTTTATTTACGGCCAGTCTCATGTTGCTTTACCTGGAAGCGCAGATCTCCAGCCCAGCTCTACTCTGCCACAGCTGCTCCCCTCTGAGCTCCCATTTTCCAAAACACTGATCTTCCAAAACTTTAAGCACATGTTGAATTCTTACCAGCTGTGTAGTTCCATTTAACCTTGTCCATAAAAGTGATCTGCATTTCTAAAGAGGAAAGGAAGATCCGCTAGACTACTTATTGCTTAGCGACAAAAATTTGGCCCAGATGATAGCAAGGGCATTAATAGGGCAGACTAATCCTACAGCAGCTATTGTCAGTTTCCTCAGTACTTTTTTCTTTTTCTTTTCCATCTTTCAGGGGGGTCTTCTCCCTCCCCCATCTCTTTTTAAGATTTTAAAATGTTGGCATTGCAGATCCCGACAGCTCCATTCAGTGGCTTCATGTGAATTAATTCCAAGACGTTCTTGGCTCATCCCTCTCTGACATCCATGTCAGCAGCTAGCCAGCCAAAATAAGGCCACTCACAAGTACATTCCCTTTCCTTTTTCGACCAGTGTGGAAACCAGCATCATATGCCCCTTGTCACAGGCACAAGGTCTTCTCAAACAGGGTACGTCTAAGCATAACAGTTTCTTGCATTACAGCATCTCCAAGGTACAGAGTCCTTATCCACTCAGGTAAGAAACGCTCCATTCAGAGTGTCACTATTTAACATCGGGGTTAGTGCAGCAACCTCTTTCCCAGTCAGACAAGCATATTCAAGCCCAGCATCCACCAGCTCAGGTTCCTGACACTAGTGCCCTTCACCCACATCACCTCTCCATTCCTTCATTTGCTCCCTTCTCCCTTAGGCACTCACAGACCCCTTGTCACCATTTTCGACAACCTCACCCTTCCTCTTACCTACATTATCAGTATCCCTTTGGCCCCTTAATCACATACTGGTGCCAGCCTGCATCTGTCCGGTTGCCAAGGGAACTGCCTTTCTGCCTTGCGGCTCCAGGCCCTTAGGAAGAGCTCCCAGTAAACATCCTCTATCTACTACACCTTTCTTCTGCATCTTCCTTGAAACCAGCTGACAAAACCTCAAGGACAAAGGTTAAACGGGTTGCTGATCCATTGGCAGCTGATCCTCTCAAGCACAGTATCATGGCCCAGTCGTGTGCTGCCTCCCTTTTTAGTCTACAGGCTGCCTTGGTTTGCCAGCTCTTCTGGAAGAGGGGCATCTCATCCCTCATACCTTACAGACACGATTCCTCCCTAACACAAATGCTTCTGAGCCCCATTAATAACGTCAGAGTACAACTCTCTCATAGTGAGTCATAATGACTCATTTCCTACCATCCTTCAATGTTGTACAAAGCCAATTGTCCATCTAGGGTCCTGCCCACTCGTCACAGGCTCTCAACCTTTCCAGTGCCTTGCTACATTGTTTGAAGTCTTCCTCTCCACTCGGACCGTCCCTCTTGCCCCTGATTACACCATTCTTCCTTTCTACCGGCCACTGACTTCCCATTTAGTAAAAAGGCAAAACAAAGATAAGAGGTATAATAATCCTATAACATCCTAGATACGATTAAAGACCAGTTTAAATTTTCTAAGCCTGACTAGTAACTTTGGTCACCCACGTATTATGAGCCCAAATGAGACTGTATTTTCATGAGGTGCTCACCATCCATGTCCTGCAGATACCACACCAGGAACCCAAGACTTTGCAAATCCACCCCAGTGGTAGCACACAAAACAAGAACAGCCAAATAACCCCACTGCCTAAGCAGAGACAAGTCACAAAGCAATGTAAGGAAGAGCTTCCAGACAGAGGGTAAAAACTAATTGGTATGTATTCTTTCCAAGATCCAAGCACATACACATACTACAAGGAGTATTGCTGGCTGCTAAGTGTAACTACATTTAAAACCACTGTGTTTCAAGATCCCTATGAAAAGCAGATTGAATGTCAGCACATTACAGAAACTTTTAAAGTAAGTCAATTTTGAAATTGCAGATTGCAAGAAATATTAAATTGGATTTAAATATAGGAAAGCAAGTATTTGCATGTAGCTTGTACTCGAACCACAACAGCAGCTATAACTGCATACACAAAACTTATATTTTAGCCTTGCTATACCAGCGTTTGAACGTGCTGAAACACACTGACAAAATAATGGTTGTGTCCGTATTTGAAGGTGTAATTTAAGAATAGAATACACAAATGTTTAATGTTGATGTAGGAAAAAAGGTAAGATCTGCAGAGAGCATAACAGCAGAACTTACAAAGATTACCAATTAGACAAAAAAAAAAAATAAATCAGTGCATACTGG